ATCATGTGAGTAATTTTTAATATCAATAGATGATTGTATGTAGATATATCTATTTCTCCGTCAGGATTTATGTTTCGATAAAAGTAAATTTTTTTTTCTTTTCAAGTCTTTTTCTATTTGACTATTTCAGTTAATTTAGGAAGTCATATGAATATCACACTTTGATAAGAAACCATTCATTATATGGTATCTTATTTTTCAAAAAGAAAACTATCTATTTCTCAATAAAAACTTCCATTGTTGTGTATTATGTGCAAAAGAACCATAATAATAATTCGTTTATTAGTTGGTAGTTGTTCATAACTTAGATCAAAAGAAAAGTATTGAATGATCAAGGACTTCAGTTATTCATCTTTCAAAAGAAAGTAAATATAGAAGTATCAAACTTAGTTTATTATCAAAATGAAATCTGTTACACTTTAAATAAAGTCGGTAAATTGATAATAGAATAGATTTCATGTGAACATAAGATCAGATGTTTTGTTTTGTTTAAATTAATTCAACATTTGTTTTTTTTAATGTTTTGTACTATGTCAGTACTTGACTTGAATGATTAATGTTACTTTTAAAAAAAATACAGACTGTTCTTTTTATTTACATATTCTATAAGAGTCTTTGAATATAAGATTGTGCCAAAACAAGGTAATAAGTTTTACGACAAGCTATTTTAAAAAAGAAAGTACAGTGATTTCAATATATTCTGTAAACATTCTTTGTATTTCTTAGCGGTGAGATAGTTTGTTACTGTTTAGGTAACACTTGATTCTGTAATATAATAGTCGAATTCATGGGTCAATTCAAGCTAGACCATCATGGAAAACCTGGAAGCACTGAACGGCCGTTTCGTTCTACTATGGGATTCTTTAGTAGTGAGCATAAATGATCCCGCTCGCGGGATTCAAACCCAGTACCTATTACTTAATTCTGTGATAATTTTTTTATTCAGTGTTATGAATTAAGAAAGGACTGCATGCCAATTTGTTATTACCTTATGTTCGGGTTTTTATCACATGAATTATCCACCAATCCAAATACGAATTATCTAATCTTAACACTGTGCAAAATCAATGACGTTCGACCAGTATGAGTAGTCTATCGTCCTTATTGGTCCCTTGTCCTCCTAGCCCTTCCAATTGAGTCCAAAACACCAATTGCAGCTTCTGCTATGGGAATCATTTATTTCAAACATACTCGGTCTATATACCAGACAGACCGACAGATCGCATCACATCATAAGATAGAAAATAATATTTGTACGAGATCAAGCCAAATGTGGCTGTGAACGTGGGAGACAGTAGTCAATAAAATGAATATAATTAAGAAACAATAATTCGTATAATAATACATAGGTCAAAATGAAGCTTGTAATAAGATGAATATAGATATATACAATCTAATTACTCATTAGTTAAACAGTAAGAATATATGTAGAATAATAGTCCATTATTAGGTCCCAGAAGTTACCCGTACTTATGTATTCGCTAGGATATAACATTCAGTACCTTATTTAACAAAAATATAAGAATATGACGGGGGTATGATTTGATTTTTTTGAAATTTATTAATTTTGAAGCATTTTACTCTAAAACAAGATTCTAATCATTTACTATAAAACTTGGAATGTATTTAAAATTATAGAGATTGTTTACATTTCGCCAAATGAAGTGTAGTCATGTGACTTTCATTTTGTCCAAACAAAACTGATGATGTTTAAGGGCAGTTTATACACTCAATAAAAAAACACGCAAAACTTAATGTTTAGTAGAATAATGTTCAGGAATAAACAGCAAGGTAAATATTGTTTGGAAACCATACAGTGGAACATATAACACTCAAATAGTGAGGTTAGAGTAGTTAACATCAAAACTACAAGAGAATATCAGTTCTCCATTGAGTAGTTAACACTAGAATATTATCTAGTCTATAAATTTCATTGGATTCTATTGTCTAGGTTTGTCATATAAATTCTTGGCGTTACTGAGTCACTTCATTTGAAACATACAAAATAGCAATAAGACATGTAGGACTTGTAATAATATTCAGAAAAAATAATTACGTAATTGAAATTGATGAAGTTAGCGATATATTTGATGACAGTCACCTGTTTAGTGGGTTAAGCGATATATATATATATATGGTCAACATGATTTGAGTTTTCCCGTTCATAGTATTTCAAGTGTACGTGATTAATACTTTTTTTCGTCAGTTAATGAAGTCAGTGCTTCATAATACGATTTTTTCAAAGGCATAATTCTAATAGCTGATCACAACGTTAACTATCAGTTTATATTTCTGACTTTTGCAAATCTATGATAGCGAATTGGAGTTTCATAGTCCAACTTGGTTGGCTTCATAATTTTCTATGGTACCAAAGATACGCAAAATACTTAATAAATACGTACATAAATTAGATGATATTTATATCATTTTATCAAAATAGTCAGCTTCAATATAATTTTTTTAAAGCAGTTTTAAAGGTTGACAGTGTAAAGTTATCTTCAGTACTCAGAAATCTAATGTATTCACCATCAAGATTGTATAATAAACCTTATTTAATGTTAAAAATATGATAAAATTTAATTATTCTATTACTTCCATATCAACCCATAGAAACGTTTTCATTGCAACAAAAGTCAGTCTTCCATAAATGCTGCTAAACTATGATATATTTATCTTGCTTAACATTATTAGTTCATAATAAATTCATCTTAAAATATAAATGGAACTTTATTCAATTGATATTTAATTATTACTAGCGTTTATATTTCAAATAATTTCCTGATAGTTATTATATTTTTCATTGTCAATTTATATCAAACAATTTAGTATATAAATGAATAGAAATGTTGTTTAAATTAATGTAAATATTGTTATAACTTGTGGCTGAGTGGATGCCTTGTTAGCGTATGACGTGATAAGATCATCAATCAGAGAGCAGTGAATTATCGATTGGAACAGTGACACACAAAAACCGTACGAGCAATATAGAGTACTTGTCGGTCCTGCTTCTGCCTAGCCCAGCCAGTTAAGTCCAAAACAGCCTCTGCGGTCTGAATCATTGTATTTCAAACATACTGAGTTTGTATACCAATCGAAATGACCACATCGTACCAATAAAATAGGAAATGACGTTTGTACAAGATTTAGCCGAATGTGACTGTGAATAGATGGAACAGTAATTAATTAACCTGGTGTGATTTATGAATGGTAAATCATATAACAATAGTCTATAATTCAAAATAAGACCGTGGATCAGTTGAAGTTAGACATTAACACCGTTGGATGCCAGCTCAGTGGTCTATCGGTTGAGGGCTTCGGCTCGAGACTGGTAGGTCCTGGGTTCGAATCTCGCGAGAGCGGGTTCGTGAATGCGTACTGCTGAGGAGTCCCATGATAGGACGAAACGGCTGTCCAGTGTTTCCAGGTTTTCCATGGTGGTCTAGCTTCAATTGACTCACGCTTTCAACTATAATAAATACTAAATCTCTACAAAACCCCTTCTACAAAATAAAGCCCATGATAAGGGAAACATGAATATGAATAGTTTAAATATTTAGCGACTATACGATAAAAAATATGTGCATAATATCGGTCTATAAATGGTTCCCAAAGTTACCATTCACTATTGTTATCGCGACATAAGAAATGTAATAATATTTTATATTAGATTTTGTTTCATAAGAAAACAAATTAAATAACTAAGTATACTCATTAAATAATTTATTAATTTTGTAATTAGGCTCAGAATAATAAACTAGTAACAATTACATGAGAAAATTGATTTCAGAATTTCATTTATATCATTTATATCGCTAAGAGAAACTCAATTGTTTCATCTAATATAAAAACAATAATAACGCTTAAGTCATATGATTTTGAGATGGTGGAGAAGATTTGTAGCTTAGGTGGATGATTTTGATGGAGTTTTGTTCGCTGAGCTGGATGATTTGGCCATCGAGCTTCCATCGTCTTTTTCATCCGTTGAGCTAGTGGTACTACAGTATGTCTTATTTCTTGTGGCTCCACGACCAATGCTTATGTCAATAATATAGAATGTTATGATTTTAATATTCCATTTAGCTTGCGATATATTCCAGATGCATAGAGAAATCTAATAGTATTATTTAGAAAACTATAAACCATTAAATACATGTCCAAACAATTTTTTTCTTCTGACTTTCAACTATGTTCTAAATGACTATGGTTCATGAAAACAATAGGACGAAACGCGCGTCCTGGGTTCCATTGCTAGCCACTATTCATCTTTGCTTACAATGTCTGAACTAGTTGTATCGCCTCAGATCTACGGTTCAATTTCCGGGGTATGTCATGTACACTATAATAATTATTATTCTATTTCTTCTCTATTGTCTATCTAAACTATTTTTAGCATCATTTTCAAATGATTGGTTCATTCGAAATCGTTATATGTATTGTTGTACGTGATCGTTTGTTTGTGTGTGTGTGTAGATTTGATCTCAAACAAAAACCCTAATACCTAAAATAACATTGTTACTATCATCAATACTGTTATATATTCCTTTTATCTCAATAGTAACTATAGTCTATAAAGTATTTAATTTGTTAAAAAAATGTGTCATGAGTAAAGGAGAAAAAAGAAGAAGAATAATAATAAAGTTAATAAAAGTACATTTTAAGAAAAAAATTTTTTTCATTGGTGAGTATTATTTTCTAAATTTACTTATATAAGTAATATGGTTTCTTTTTTGTGTGTGTACTTTCCTCAACTATATTTCGTACATTTGAATATGCAACCAAGTATTATAACCATTTAAAGTACAAATAACAAATTGGTGGTAAAAATAAAAAAAAATATTTTTTTATTTAAAATAAATTTCAAAAAAGAAAACCAAAAACAAAAACAGTAAAAGGAGAAAAAATAAAAGAATCAGAGGAATTTAATTTATAACTTTATTTTGATAAACTCTTTACATTGAAAATTACAAGTTTATTCCGGTTATCATAAATTATATATCAGAATGTTAATAGAGGTTCAATTGGATCCTAATGAAATGAATAAACAGATTACTACAAATGGAATTACATCAGATACTATAAATAATACTTCTACTAAAAATTCGAAATTATCATCTTTCACTTTATTATCTTCATCAACATCATCAACATCAACATCATCAATGTCTTCATCAACTTTACCTAATTTATTATCTTTAAAACATGATGAAAATAAAATTTCTGAAGAAAATTCAAAATTCAATGTTTCAAATAAACCTACAGTACGAAATATTCTTGCAACTCCACATAAAATACCAATATATTATTTAAGTCGTGGAAATAATTCACAATTGTAAGTTTATTTCTTTAAATGATATTAGTTTTTTCACTATAAAAATTTCATTTTCTTAAAAAATCTGGTGTGGAGCAAAATATTTGAAATTAAAATTGTAATAGTTGATATCATCATTCGATTGAAGCTAGACCATTATCAAAAACCTGGAAGCACTGGACGCCCGTTTCGTCCTATTGTGGGACTCCTCAGCAGTGCGCATTTACAATCCCGCGTCGCGAGATTCGAACTCAGGGCCTATTAGTCTCGCGCGCGAGCACTTAACCGATAGACCACTGAGCTGGCATCCAACGGTGTTAATGTCTAACTTCAACTGATCCACAAAATTGAGCGACGCACCCACCAATGTGTTCAGTGAGTTATTCTCTCACAACAGACCTGGATGACTCCACTAGTCACTGCCTCTCAATAGAACTCCAGGAAATACATCTTGAAGCCAGTCACTAGTGAGCATATATTGATTAATATCAGATGACCTCAACTATTAAAATTACTTTAATATACACAAAACCACTTTTGAAATTAAAATTGTTTACTAAATGTAATTATTCGTAAATCAACTTCTAACTTACTCATCAGTTATGTTTATGATGGTTGATAATCAACAGAAATGCCGTCTACGATAAATAATTTGTAGGTTTTGAAAAACAAAAACAAACATTATATCCTCAAGTACCTAGAATTATACAAAAGAGTAAAAAGTTACTGTAGTTCACTCCGATCCATTGATTATATGAGTAAACTCTATCTTATAATATATAGTTTTATAGTGTTATGTACAAATAAATCACTTGGAATATGAATATTTTATTCTTGTATCGTAGAAATAAGTAAACTTCAACATTTTTTAACTTGATCATAACGTGGTTTATACAGAAAGTTCACTGGTGATAATTAATTTTAATATGATACTGATTTACTGTAAAATCCAAATATAAAATTTCTCGGAAGTGGGTTTTGTGGAGATTTTCAGTAATTTTACATAGTAACTCACTGAACACATTGGTGGATGTGTCCCTCCATTTCGTGAATCGGTTGAAGCTAGACATTAACACCATTGAATGCCGGATCAGTGGTCTATCGGTTAAGTGCTCGCGCGCGAGACTAATAGGCCCTGAGTTCGAATCTCACGAGGCGGGATCGTGGAAGCGCACTGCTGAGGAGTCCCACAATAGGACGAAACGGGCGTCCAGTGCTTCCAGGTTTTTGATAGTGGTCTAGCTTCAATTGACTCATGATCTCAAATATATATAAAATTCCTATTCAAGAAAGAGATTTTAATTTGTAATATCATAGAAAAACACAAAAATAACGAATATTCATCTCTTATGACGATTGTAATTGGTTGATGCTTTTAGTTGATTTGTAAAATTTGCCCCTGATTATTTAATCTTAATAAATGACTACAAAGATTAGTGATAAGATTCTGTTGAAACATTTCATATATAAATAGAAGGTCAATGGACTAAAAGTTCTTTCTCTGGAAACTATTTTATTGAAAATTTGGGTTCAATTCGAAGAGTAAATTATCCGTAAGATTATTCCAATCATTTTCTTATTTTTTAAAATAAATCACTCATCAATTACTTGTGAGAAGGAAACGAGTTAGTTGTTTGTATATTTTCCTTTAAAAAGATTTGTTAGACAGTTTTATCTAGAAAAACGTCACGTGACATAATGGTTCATGGTCACATTGATCAAAGATTGTAAGTAATTCTGACCACTTTCATAACAATATGAATGTGTAACGATTGTTATTGATTGAAATTAAAAATTGTACTAAAAATGGTACAAAAAAATGCATTCAGAGTACACTCGGAAAAAATCAACTTACTTACGCCTGTTACCCCAATAGAACATGCGCTGCCGACCAGCATTCTCCAACCCAACAAACAAATACGGATAGTTTAATTTTGTCATCACCATTTTGTAAAATCAACTAGGAAAAATTTCATACAACAAATTGTATAGAAATTAAATACTGTAGAAAACTTCTATTATTAGTAAAATGTAATATGAATATTAAATTCATGCATAATTGTGACGTATTATTACATTAGAAAGATTAAATCATATTTGTTTATGATTAATGGTAGTTATCCAAAAAAGAGGAAATAATGATATAGATTTAAGACAATAAAATGTCTTTTTCAAAACAAATAGAATAATAAATGATTTGGAAACAGAGAAAAAAGTATAATGATGAAATTTCCTTTTTCTTAAATTCAGATCATATTGATATTTATTATTTGAAGCAAATTGAGTAGTATTGTAGTGACCAAGAACACAAATGGGGACAATCGAATGTATTCGAACACAAATTTAGTAAAATCTGAGAACTACACAGTAAATTCTTCATTTCCAAAATATCAATTAATTGTTTCAAACTTGACTATTCCTTCTGGAAATACCAGTCAATCAATTATCTCAGACTTCATTGTTTCTTTATTTTCATATAAATCATTCTCTGTCCTCGTTCTCTTCTCTTCTATTTTCGCAACCTTCTACCTCCAGGCATTCCACTTTCGATTGGTGACACATACTACTTATATCTATGGACATCGGTAGCACACATCACAATATGGATAAAATAAATAAATACTTAATCATTTACTATTAAAGTAAATAATAATATCTAGTTGAAACTAACTCGAATAAATGACTAATGTATAAATTAACATTAGATTGTATTTATTTAAAGGACTGAATTAGTCTAGTTTATTGTTGATTTAATACTTTCTCAGGGTATATATTTTATATTTCCCTGTAAAATATTTTAATATACGAAATTATTACATCAGAACAAGTTCACATTACAAAATGAACCGAATTTCATATGCAATAAAATTTAAAAAAGACAATTGTATGTATAGATGCAAAACATTTCTAATGATAATATGAAGTAATGGTGAAGTTTCGTATTATAGTAAACTCTTTCCAAAATGACGAGTTGACTTTTTATTTATAAAGATTTTAATCATACTTTAATCATACATTTAAGATTTATCAGTATGGGGCCGTTGGATGTTGGCTCAGTGGTCTAGATGTTAAGTGTGCTCGCGCGAGACCGAGGGTTCCGGGTTCGAATTCCGCGAGCGATATCGTGAATGCGCACTTTTGAGGAGTCCTATAGTAGGACGAAAGGGTCGTCCAGTGCTTCCAGGTTTTGAATGGTAGTCTAAAATCAATCGATTCATGATCTCAATCAAAAACACTTGAGATTTATTACACAAACGATAAATCAGTTTTCCTAATGAAAGTATTTTTGAATAGTTTTTCTCAAAAGTTTTGTTAGCCAGAGATTCTTTAGCATTCAGGTAGACTGTTTTATTAGGCTTTCTCATTATGTGATTGAATGACCGTGTTAACTAGGCAATAGTTCTATTTTTCTTGTAAATCCTATATCACATTTGTAAAAAATCAATATTTCAGTATTTCCGAGTCTAGTTCTCTAACAATTACTAATGTGTTATGTAAAGTACATTCAAACTTTTAGCTTCATTGGTAATAAAAGTGAAATCATTAGCCTTTAGATTAGTTTCAATTCAAGCAAGTTTTTGCTTTATTTGCATATCTTGACACTGTTATCGTCGTCAATATAGAGTAAAATATAATTTGAACTTCACTATTACTATGAAGAAATGTATTGTTACTTATTTTATGGAAAGTGAGGTTGTCATTTTCGTCCTATTCATTAAGTTATACTAATCGATTATTTGGGTTCAAGAAATATCTACAATAGGTAATTACTCTACTAGGTAATCAATAGTTCGGATTCAAACTGAATGAAAACCTGTTTGTTCGAACTATTTAGACTTTCATCTTGTAGCCTTATTTAATAGGGTGTGTGACTGGTTGCTTAGAAACTGTTGGTTTGATTTGCGGTATAGAGTAGATTGTTTTCAACTTTAACTTTATTACAAAGATGATTTACAGTTTACAGCTATTCAATTTGTAAAATTTTATTACCTGACCCTTATAAAATAATGAGTTCATCTTTGGTTGGAGTTCAGTTGCTGCTGGGAAATGAAGGACACAAACAGTGTTGATGAAATAGCCTAATTTTTAAATATCGTTCAATATAATTAAAATTGGTAAACTAATGTTAAACATAGATTTGGTGGTATTCGGACACCTGTATTTTGGGTTTATAGAAACTCGTTTTATCCAACGAATATGACATTATTTGTGTCTCTTCCACTTTCATTACTAAGAATGGTATATTTGTTGATCTTCGTTAACCCTTGGAATGCATAACACTATGGTAATCTAATATTTTACAAATACATATTATATCATTTGTACTGAAAGTGAGTTTCGGTCGCTAACCATCAGATAAAAAAGGAGACATGACTTGATTTTATTAAATAGTGTTTTTAAAATCCTTTAGTGATGGCCTTGTTTATGATCGGTCCTAGAAGATTCAAAATGATGCTGAATATTAGCAATATTATGACTACTTAAAATACACAGCGATAATAAAAGAAAAGGGGCAAAGATTCAATCACCTTAAATGGCGTCTAACATGAGAAACTGAGCCTTTTATGATGTCCAATAATTACTGATTATATCATTGTATATTTTGCCTTAGTAATCAACAAGTCGATTTTGTGAAATTCATTTGATGTTTTGTTTAACTTTCTGAACAAGAAGTGTTTAAATCAATTTTAATCGGCTCTTTTGATGATTTTAAACAAAACAATAATAATTAAACAGCCCTTGTAGTTTGGTTGCTTGCCATCTACTAGACAATGGGCACTAAGCCAACATAATAAACACATCCGCAGTGATCAATATTCAGTAAAACTCTGTTTTATCAGAGATCGTGGATGCTATTCCAGTTTGAAGGTTTCAATATTTTTGTATTTAAAGTGATCAGGTACTTAATCTTTTGTTATATCACACCGCAATATTGTACTAAATATTTTAGAGCTGTCACTATAAACACTTACAAAGACTTTAATAAAACTGTAGATTCCAAATTCTTTTACATTGCAAAC